ACTGAGGAACAGCTTCTACCCTGAGGCTGTTAGACTCATGAATCTCTAACCAGGAGAATCACTGTGAAGACACTTTAATTGGAGATATGTGCTGCTGATTATCTCATGCCGCTGATCATCTCATGCTGCTGCTGATCATCTCATGCTGCTGATCATCTCATGCTGCTGATCATCTCATGCTGCTGATTATCTCATACCGCTGATCATCTCATGCTGCTGGTCATCTCATGCTGCTGATTATCTCACGCTGCTGATCATCTCATGCTGCTGATTATAGTGATTATTAGTGTCCTGAGACGACGTCTGTTGGAGCTGCAGAAATAAACTGAACTAAAGTGAATTAAAGTGAATTAAATCAAACTAAAGTGAATTAAAGTGAATTAAAGTGAATTAAAGTGAATTAAAGTGAATTAAATTGAACTAAATTCAATTAAATCAAATTAAAGTGAAGTGAATAAACAACATCTCGTGTTGGAGACTTGAATGCTGGTGTCTCAGGAGCGCCTGTGCTTGACGGCGTCCTGCCCACGTGACACGTGTTCCTCGCTCCTCGCAGTCACGCACACACTGAAGGGACACGGAGACAGCGTCAGTCCAAAGCGTCCGTGCAGGGACGGAGGAGGTGTCCCAGCTGGTAGCGTGAAGCTGAAGGTCTGCAGTAAGCCGGTGAGCGTCAGGAAGAGCTCCATCTTGGCCAGCTGCTCGCCCATACACACTCGACGACCTGAGGGAGGCGTGGACACGTCACATGAGCCCAAGGCTTGTTGCACTCACCCACATGAGGACCGAGAGGCGTACCAAGGCCAAACGGCACCAAGAACTCTTTCCTGAGCAGCTGTCCTTCATCGTCCAGGAAGCGTTCGGGGTTGAAAGTGTCCGGATCGTCCCACACACGGGGGTCTCTGTGGACGGAGTACAGGTTGGGCAAAAGGACCGTTCCCTTGGGGACGGTGTAGCCTCTGAACTCTGCACACAACAAGGTTCATGACAGTTTACACGAGAGCTGACATTCTGCTTCCTGTTTCTGTCACTTTGTGACGACCTGTCGTCTCTGAGGCCATGTGAGGAACGCTGAGCGGAACCACAGCCGCCAGTCGCTGCACCTCCATGATGGTGGCTTCAGTGAACGGCAGACTTCCTTTATCGGTCAGGGACGGGGGCCGACGTCTGCCCACGACCGCAGCGATCTCTGCGTGGACTTTATCTGCAACAAAACGGCTCCAACGTGAGAAAGGATCCGCACCTCATCAAGAAAAAGAAAAGCGTTTGAGATCAGTGACTTCAGAGCATCTGCAGCAAATCTTTATAAAGTTTATTTATATTCAGGTTTTACTTTAATCTTTTATAAGGTTTATTTTCTAAACACAACGTCCCAGTGGCTTTAAAACCCCAAAACACATTAAAGACTGGTTCATCCCAAAGATCCAGTCCCCCGGCACAAACAGAGTAATGTTGTGTATGTTGTTCAGTGTCAGGAGGGTGATCAGTTGGAGAAACTAAACAGCCACTGGCCAAAAGGATGGACCAGCCCAGAAGATCAACATCATCAGGCCAGGACTCAGAGGTCTACACTCATCTCCAGGCCAGAGGTCACTCTTTCAGGGATGAAGATGTTCACATCCTGGACAGAGAGGAACGATGGTTTGAGAGAGGAGTGAAGTGTCTGGGGGTCCTCTCCCAGAAAGTTCTGAATAAAGTAGATGCCACTTCCTGTATCCTGGTGCATTTTAATGGTTGTTAAACATCTGGTTTACCGCCATAAGTAAACACTTGATTCAATAACATTTTAGAGCAACAAGAAGAAGCCTGACCAACAGCTCTCCTTGTGTGAATAGAGCATGCTCCGCTTCTTTCAAGCATCCTAGCACCCCCCCCCCCCCATGTCAAAAACTGCCGGAATTAACATAGCGCTAAGCTAGCGTGTAAAACAGAGGTGTCTCCCCCTCCTCCCCCGTTAGCGCCCTGCCAAGGCAGATGACCGACGAGAAACAAACCCTGCATGAGGTGTTGTAGGTAACCAGGAAAACCTGGAGTGGGTTTTTAGTGGTTGGAGTATTCTCCCATTAATCAAGTGGGATGGATTTGTTCATGAAGAACTGGAAACAGCACTGGGTGAACTAATATTTCAAGCTAAATGTGTGTGTTGTGGGGGGGTGGGGTGGGGGGCATGTCCCCTTCACATGGATGAAGATGTTCTTTGTGAATTTCATCCAGACTTGAAGGGTCTGCTGTTTTTGTGATGCAGCTGGACTGTAGCAGCACCTGGGGGAAGTTTCAAAGATGGATTTAGATGTTTGATGTGGGTCCACAGATTGTAACGCTACACAAAATGTTACACAAGCTCACGATGAATTTTCATACGAAAACTTTCAATGTCTCTGCGATTTCTTTGCTGCATTACCTTTACACTTGTTCCTCCTTGAATCAAACATACTATGCTGCTGCATGATCAAGTTTCCTTTAAAAAACTATTAATGGTTATCATGTACGTCTCTAAGATTGTATCATAATTTGTCTAAGTCTGTAAATAGTTGAAGAAAAACACTTAAAACAACAAATATATGTCTTTCCTAATGCAGATGTGTGCAGCTGTGTTCATTTGATAATAAAGTTTAGACACTAGAAATCATTGCATGTTTCTATCTGCATGGCTCAATGACGGTGCGTCCTGGCACACATGTACAACCACAAACAGGAGATGCCCTCGTCCTTTTCTTGGAGCTGGGGGGTCCAAGTAAAAAAAAAAAATAATAAAAAAATAAAAATAAAAAATAAAATATATATATATATATATATATATATATATATATATATATATATATAAAATATATATATAAAGAATCTAGGGTGAAAAATCAACCTTTAATTTTTCCTCCTCAGGACGTGTGTGGACCGGCCCAAAGACAAAACGGACGAAGTCACAACTCGCTCAGTGCAAGCGGTTGTGAAGAACGTGTCAAATGTAAATAAAGTGGAACACGGGAAACACATCAAATGTTTAGACTAAGAAATTTGATAATTTTAAGAAAATGTTTTTTTGGAGACGTGTTGCTGCCATCAAATTCTAAATATAATTTTTACCCCAAAAAGATGCAACTTATTGAACACTTGATATGTTCACTTTGTTCCGTGTACATAAGTTATAGATTATTGAGATTTACAAACCACTGCATTGTCTTAATTCACATTTTACACAAAGTTGCAAATGTTCTAGATCAGGGGCTGCAGGTTTGGTTAAATTAGACGCATTCTGCCAAGACTCCACCAAGTGGACTGTTGCTGCTTTACCTTGAATGTCCGGATGTAAGGCCAAGTAGAGCAGAGTCCATAAAACTGAATTAGTCGTGGTGTCAGTGCCAGCTATGAAGAGGTCTCCCATTATATAAAAGAGGTAATCTTCAGTGAAGCTGCTGTCCTTCTCTCCAGCAGCTTGCTGTGCCAGCATCTCTATCAAGTACATGTCTGCAAGATCCCTGGGATTTTCAGGATCTAAAGTCTCACGGTGATTTGCAATAATCCTCTTGAGGAACACGGTGATGTCTCTCTCCACCTGCCGTAACTCCTTAAAGACCCCAAAAGGCAGATAGTAGAGCAGCGAGAAGGCATTGATGAGGACGGCAGCGCTGTTGTTGCAGATCTCCAGCCCACGCCCCATCAGGCTCAGGATGGTCCGGAACTCGGGGTCCCCGTGATGGAAGCGCTGGCCCAGTATCAGCGAGCAGATGACATTTGACACGGCATTGCTGATGAGTGGAGACAGGTCGACACCGGCACCGCCGCACTCTTTGTTCAGAGTCAGCAGCTCTGCCTTGATGGTGGCCAGGCCTCGCTGGATGCAAGGCTCCAAACTCAGCTTCCCCAGGCCGAAGTTTCGCAGCGTTGTGTGGCAGAACTTACGCTGCTTCCTCCACACCGGCCCGTACGGCGCAAACACTATTCCTGAAGACAAGCACAAGAGAACGTTTATTTTAGTCCGAGCCATGTTTGCACTAGTTGATGGTGATTAACAGTGGCTCACATCTCAAACTGCTTCATTTACAACTAAAACTGCTTCATTTACAACTCAAACTGCTTCACTTACATCTCAAACTGCTTCA